GCGAGAGTGGCAAAGAGTAAGTCCTTCTATAACTAGCTCTATTTAAATGTATCTCTCTGGCGCGCCGGTCTCTCTCTCTCGCTGTGTGTCCGTGTCTCTGACAGTCTGCCATCTGTATCAAACTCCCAAATAATCCGAGCACCCACCCACTGATCTATCTGTCTTCCTTCTCGCATGTTCTCTCTCTCTCTCTCTCTCTCTCTCTCTCTCTCTCTCTCTCTCTCTCTCTCTCTCTCTCTCTCTCTCTCTCTCCCTCTCTCTCTCTCTCTCTCTCTCTCTCTCTCTCACTGTCTCTGTCTCTCTGTATAATATTATATATATATATATATATATATATATATATATACATACATTTACATATATACATACATACATACATACATACATATTTTATATATATATATATATATATATATATATATATATATGTGTGTGTGTGTGTGTGTGTGTGTGTGTGTGTGTGTGTGTGTGTGTGTGTGTGGGTATACCGTGTTCCAAAAGTTCTGTCACACCCACCTTAAAAGTACAATAACATATCTACTATTCAACATAGCCAAGAGAAATTTGGCACTCGCGATCTTTATTCATTTTCAACCAACATGACGTAAAAGAATTGACAAATGTCTTTTCGTCACACTGACCCTTGCAAAATCCAAATCACAATTTGCTCAGTATCGCATATGACCTCTTTCAGTTTGAATTACTGATATCAAACATCTGTTAATTGGCTGAATTAATGTCCTTATGGTTGTCTGAACAATCCCCTGCCATTCCATGTGAAGTGCAGCCTTCAGTTCCTGACGAGTTTATACTCAGTTAGGCATGTTTGTAATCCTCCAGTCAAGATCATTTTACCGATGTTCTTTTGGGTTAAGCCTGGTTGATCTAGCATGCAGGTCAGTCCAAAACAATGATTTGATTAGTTTGGAAGGAGTTTTCACTGATCGTCGCCATTTGTGGTCGGGCGTTGTCTTGCTAGCACATTCCATCATCCGTGCCATGTAGAGCAGTCACCGTGACGAAGGATTTCGTCACAATACCGTCGTCCTTGAGGGTTACTTTGAAAAGTAACGAAATGTGTACGATTACACTCCAAACCATCACTATTCAACCACCGATTGGGGAACGTTGGATTTGTGAAGTCTCTCTCCACTTCTTTTAACACTTTCTCTTTTCAATCAATTCGACGAATTAAAAACCTTAACTACTAGGGCTGAATAGAACACTTTCCTCGTCAATGTTTTTGTTCCCAAATTTGGCGATTTCTTAAATGAAACAGGGTTGGAATGGCTTCACATAAAAGGCGATAATCACGTAATCCACAATCATATTAATGTCTAATAACGGTGTTTTAAGACAGCCCGAAGTACCTCGCAGTCTCAGTACTTAGTTGGAATGGGTTTCGAAAATGGGTGTTGGCAATAACCCAATTCTGACGTCGAGTTGTCACCCTTGGCATGCCACATCTAGGCTTGTCTTGGACAGTTCTAGTGGTGTTGTTTTGAAAACAGGAGGAAAAAAGACGACCCAACCGTTTAAAAGTATGGAATTTTATATTGTGTAAAGTGTGTTTACACATTGTCTACGTGATTCAAAGCATAATTTGTGTGTAGGAAGCGTTCATTTCAACGTAGACCGAGAAAAATCAACACCAACTTTTTGCCCACGTAATACTTCCGGTTTATGATTTCTTTCGTGTACTCTTGCTCAGGAAGTTACATAAGCCACATTCTGACACTGTACCGAAAATGTTCGTATAATAAGGGGTGTGACAGAACCTTTGCAACCCAGCGTAATATATAAAATCTCTCTCTCTCTCTCTCTCTCTCTCTCTCTCTCTCTCTCTCTCTCTCTCTCTCTCTCTCTCTCTCTCTCTCTCTCTCTCTCTCTCTCTCTCTTTCTCTCTTTTTTTTTCTCTCTCTTTCTCTTTCTCTGTCTCTCTCTCCCTCGTGCAAATACACACACACTAACGCACACTCTCTCTCTCACACACACACACACACACACACATGCACACATACATACATACATACATACATACATACATACATACATACATACATACATACATACATACATACATACATACATACATACATACATACATACATACATACATACATACATACATACATACATACATACATACATACATACATACATACATATACACAAAAATGCACACACTCTCTGTCTCTTCTATGTGTTAAAAATAATTTAGGAGCGATTAATATAAATATAGCAATATATAGATATAGATATAGATATAGATATATATGCATACCTACATTCAGATAGATAGATAGATGGATAGATAGATGGATAGATAGATAAATAGATAGATATAAATTAATTCATGTATATATATATATATAATATATACAAAGGAAGAGAGAAACAGAAGACAAACAGATAGACAGACAGACAGACAATCAGACAGACGACAGACAGACAAACAGACAGACAGACAAAGAAACAAGGCAGTGATTGGAAAAATATTTAGTGTTTGTCACTTGTCTTGTGTATTCATGCACACGATCTGCGTTTCTCCGTTCACTTACAGATCGTGACACCTACCTCCCTGTTTACCGCCATATTTTACTTTCACGTCTAGATAATATAATATTTGCCAATGCTATTTTCTGCTGCGTTAATGGATTGTGGTCTAGTGTAATATGGTAAGTTTATCTTATATTACTTGCAATCAGGCACCCATCTTTTTTTTTTCTTTTTTTTTTTCCTACTGAAATAAATGCTTGATGAAAATGGAGAATGATAGGTAAATGAATTTTTAGAATAAAGCGGTATTAGATAGATAGATAGATAGATAGATAGATAGATAGATAGATAGATAGATAGATACATACATACATACATACATACATACATACATACATACATACATACATACATACATTCGAGGTGTCTAAAAACGAGGGTAGCATTTAAAGGGCAATAACTCGGTCATCTTTAGACCGACCAATTTTAACCAAATTTTGCAGACCAGAAATTCAAGAAGGGTGACATTACATTTTGTCAACATGAAAAAAAATTAAATTTATGCGTTCGAAAAATATCTAGTTTGGAAATGTTCAACCAAAATTGCATGAAACGTAAAACTTCGCAACTGCTTAAAATTCATCTATACAGTGTATTTCAAATAGTCACTGTGTGTGCAATGAAGAACAAATTTATAAAAAAATTATATTGCAAAATAAACTCAGGGTGGCTATTAAAATCTCAAGGTGTTGTCCATTTTTCTTTATTCAATTTCAGATACGTCACTTAAAATTTTAAATAACCCCGTGGCATGTTTCTGGTTCGTTTCTTTATACGTCCTGTTTAACACAGTTTCAGCTGTTGGATCTTTTGTGGCTTGTTTCTGATTAGACTCTGTCTTGTCAAAAGACCCAAAGGGTATTAATTATTTATTTGTAAATTTTTGGCTTATACGATGTTCCCCAAATTCTTCTTGCAAACATACAAGGACCACTCTTGACGTTTGGACATTTGAGGGTGTGGCCCACCCCACAAGAACCAGGCCTCTACAATATAACACCTTTTTCTCCCCAAAACTTCTCCAAAACTTTCTCAGCAGGGTTAGATATATCCATCTGGTGGTTTTACCATCTTTACCCTGAAATCAGAACGACTCGGTCACGCCCCTGTAGCTGAACGCTTTTAAGTGTAATTTTGCGTTTTACCCAATTTTGGGTGAACTTTATAAAGCTTGGTGTTTCTCAAAGGGGTTGGTGAATTTTCTTCATATTTACAAACTTGTCCACATGGTTGAATTTTATTTGTTAGAAGTTTCTGGTTAAAAATTAGTGCACTGATGACCGGTGCTAGTTCTCAGGAGGTATCCGATACGTAGCAGACGCAGAAGACGAAGACAGACAGAAGGATAAAGACGCAGACGAATAAAAGCAAAACTGAATTGCTTTCATAATGAAAGCAATTTAAAACTCTGGTTTTATAGGCAGCAAGTCAATTCACGAACCCATTATAGAGTGACGCTGCTTTTTAACGTGTAAAAAAGAAACCCACTATATTTAGTGTCGTTGTATTATTTTGTTCCTAATTTAAGTCTTGAACGTGCAAGAATACTATCTCAAATCCATCACGTGCGAACAATTGCACGTGCGATTTCGGAACTAAGAACTTTTTGCTTTTTTTTTCTTCTATTTTACTTTTCTTGGACAATTTGTCTGGAAAAGCTATATACGGATATTTTATCGTATAAGTTTGATTACAATGATCAAAACAAGCGGTCCAAATTTCAGCATCAATACGTAATGGTAATACAGGTGCTTTCACTCTCCCATTGACATAATTTAGATCATTTAGGATGTGAGCTTCCGACCGTTCCTTTCAGGGCCAACCCAGGATCACCCCAGCAGAAAGACCGAAACACTCGAAAAACAATTTCTCCCAACTGAGGAATCGAACTCAGGTTCCCTGCGTGCGAGAGCAAAGCGCCTGAATGCTACACCACAGACGCCTGTATAATTATGTGTGTGTCTGTGTGAGTGTGAGTATGTGTGTGTGTGTGTGTGTGTGTGTGTGTGTGTATGTGTGTGCGCGTGTCTGTGTGTGATAGATAGATAGATAGAGAGAGAGAGAAAGAGAGAGAGAGAGAGAGAGAGAGAGAGAGAGCGATAGAGGGGGAGCAGAAAGAGATAGAGGGT